GGAGGAGGGGGAGGTGGTGGCGGATGCACTAACGCTTTGTTTGGCATTGCGTGGGCAGTACCTCCCACCTCGTCACCTTCTTTCATCGGCATACTGGGGGATAACATGTTGGCCAACCTTAGTTGGTGAGGTGCTGGAGAAAGGCTGACCTCTCCCAATCCCTTTTGTTCCAGATGCCTATTGAAGGTAAATGCACTACAACCCACTGGGGTCTTGGAAGGGGCCTGCAATAGAGCTGCAGTAGGAATGGGGCCCCTGGCAGCCACAGGCATTTGGTAAAACTGCTGTCTGTGGGACGTACCAGCATCAGGGTGGAAGCCACCGTTCTTGTCGACATGGAACAGGTTCTGCTGGAAGCTGCATGAGGGGAGCAGCCGCTTCTGCTGTTTGACCTCAGGGCTGTGAACAATTCTGTTCTGCATGGAGTGCTTGTTCAGCCATTCTTGCTTAAATGGCTGGCTGTGTCCTAGCTGAGCCATGCTGGCATTGATGACACAAGGCACCCCTTTAATATCTGGGTCCACCAACAATTTCCCTGGTTCACATTTCACTTGGGTGTGTTCCCCCACAGTCCTGGCAACTCTCTTTTTGGGGTGGTTTTCTCGCTTCCTCATTTGCAGTGGTACAATGGTCCCAGCCAAGTAGCCCCGACCATCTGGATTTGGAGAGCTGGACGGCATTTCAACGACGTTCCTCTCTGCTGCTGTTTTACCCGCTGAGGTAGTTTGAAGAGGCAAAGGAAGCCTGTTGATTTCGAGCTTGGCTCCCAACCTGGGCTGTGGCAACACTTTCTCCAAAGGCAGGTTGCCCTGTAGTAACTGTGTCACTAGTGGATTGTTAGCCTCCACAGATGACAGACGACAGCTCGAGCTTGCTGCACTGGGAACTCTTTTCAGGGTGTCCGTAGCCAAGGAAACAACCTCTTCCATGGGACTCATGGTGGAAGCTTTCACGTTCTGTGTTTGTTGTGTACTAGAGGCTACCTCTGAAGCCGGAGGAGGCAGCTCAGGACCAGGGAAGCCCTCTGTGTCCATTCTAAAGCCCTTGTCCACTTCGTGAAGTTCAGATTTCACAGGAAGAGTGACATTTGTTATGAGATTCCTAGAGTGAAGTTCTGACATGTTCAAGTAGCTGGCGTGTTCAGTTTTGATAGCCTTTGGACAGCTCTGCTCTATGTATTCCTTCTGTTTACTTGAACCCGAGTGACTAACCAAAGGTTGTCCTGTGCTCCTCATCACATCATCATTCCAGCAAATCCGGTTACCTGGGTTATACTGATTGCTACAGGTTGTGTCTGCTTCACTTTTAAAAGTAGTTGGGCCACGTGCCTGCTCAGCAAAGCTATGACTAGGAGCAGTCGCCTCATTTAACTTATCTGGAACCACAAGGGATAATTCCCGAAGACCTGTGCAGGTGGCCTTCAATGTTTTACAGTCTTGGTTTACTGCAGAAGCCCCAGTGAGACTAGAACCATGATCTCCGCCTTCAGTTGCAACTGGCTCAGGCCTGCTGATAACAGATACCTGAGGACACGCCGTAGGCTGTATGCAGGCCTCAGTCTTTGCTGCCCTGTTCTGGAGGTCCCCGCTGGCTTCTGCACTTTCAATGGAGACAGTCAAAGACAAACTGGAGGTCAACGTGGTGCTGTGGTCAACAATGACTTTGCACGGAATAGATCTGTTTATGGCTGTTGGGGCAAAGCCCCCGGGTGGCTGCTGAGGTTTCCCAGAACTGTCTGCCCTGTTTCGAGGCCCTGAATTTTTGTCCAAGCTTTCGGCACTTAACTTGGGAGGACTGTCATAAGAGTTTATTGTTAGCATGTTTCCAGTAAACATTGCGACGGGTGGGCGTGCCACCAGAGAGTCTGTGACTGCTACTGAATCACTGCAGCTGAGGGCTGCTCTCACAGTGGTACCCATGGATATGGTGGCCTGTTCTTCACTCCCAGGCATGGCTATCTTCTCAGAATGAAATCTGTTGCTAATGCCCTTTGGGGGAATCAAGACAGAGCTAGTGGAGAGATGGTTTGGCAAATTACTTCCAATGGAGGGAGTTGGCACAGAAGTGTACTGACTGGTGACTAAGTTACTGGCATTGCTGTTTGATATTAACAACTGCTTATCATTCATGGAGCTCGATATGCCAGAGCCCTCTGTAGTGGCCGGAAGAGCAGTGCTTTCAATACATTTTGGTATAATGGCTATGCATGGAGTGTCAGTTCCCTGGATAGTTTTTAACATGCTTATATCACAAGCAGAAGTTGTAGTGTTTGCACTGTCAACAGACATTAGAACAGAGGATTTATCAACAGAACTCACAAAGGGATGTTCTTTAATTGCTCCTGATATAGCAGTGCTGCAAACAGACACAGGGACAGAATTTTTATTAAAAAGCATGGGCACACTGCTATTTTCAGAAGAGGTAGATGAAACAATTTTCTCAGATAAATGTGACACTGCTATGTTTTCATCAGAACTATGCACAGATAAGTCAGTGGCAGTTTCTGGAAGTTTAGTGGGGTTAAGAGACTGCTGTAATACAGTGGTGGTCTCCCGGAGGTGCACAGACTTGTTGCTAGGAGATCTGCAGTTTGGATTGACTATAATGACACCAGTTGAACCTTCCATTTTTGTTTCAGGGGTAGAGGAGACTTCTAAGTTTGGAAGCCCTTCCTTTGAGCTGAGTGGAGGCAACCGGGTCTCCTTTGAGGTCTGGAAGAGGTGGGCTCGGGCTTGATGCTTTGCGAAGAGCTTAGCCTTTGTCTGCTCTTTAATGTGTGCTAGAGTTCTCACCTTTCCACCCTCTCCTGGGCTCCCCATGGCTCCAGAGACGATGCTTGCTGCAGCGGCTACAGCAGCAGCTGCAGCAGCCTCCCGCTGGGCCCGGGCTTGTTGGGCACGGGCCTTGATATCTGCGAGGGTCCTGGCTCCTGTATTCCTCCCCCCACTGACGGATGTGCTAGTGGATGCTCGAGACTCTGGTTTGGACACTGGTTGGCTCTTGATAATGAAAGGTGGCCCAATTTTGGAAAGCTGGATCTAAAAGAAGGAGAGAATGGAAAGGTAAAGCACTTCATACACAATCGCAGAGGAGGCATGTGGAACACAGTAATGCAAGGAAAAGGGCTAGCTGTATTCTCTTGTAATGTGGGATAAACTGCACCTAAACCCCTGAATGGGCCTGTAGAGTAAAAAGCAACAACGATAAATGAAGCATATATGTGAAACATAAGTTTTTAACCCCTGTTTTTAATCTACAAAAACATCAATTGGTGACTTCATTTCGCATGAACATGAAGCATCTTAATGTTTCATATAAATGGAAACAAAATTCATGCTTCTTAAAATGAGGCTAGCTACAAAGATTTAGTTATATTTAGTTTTTAAATTATCTGCCTTGCTGTCATGAAAAACTGGCACCTTAACTTTATGTGAGTTTATCTGTCTTAACTTGACCCAAAGAAAAAGCCCTGGCCAAAAAGCTGGAAGACTAGAATTCTCATCCGAACTTTACACAAAGGAACTTTGTGATCCTAGGCAAATCAGTATGTATCTCAGTTTCTCCAGTAATCTCTCTGAGCCAAGGACTCTATAGTTTTTATGTGCTCTCATGCCACCTAGCATGCTGCCTTATACATATATAATCAGAACACAAGAAAAGTTTGTAAACTCAGTTGTAAAATGAGACTAGTTATTTCTGGTCTATTTCCTTCACAGAGCTATTACAAAGATGGATGAGACTATATTTATGGGAGTACTGTGTTTTCCAAAGGGATGAATTATCATTACGTTTTCATAAGAGCAAGGGCAACTCTGCTTTTCTGCCTCTCAAAGAATGTATGGTTGAGCAGTTTCTTTTGATATTGGTAATTCATGATCTTTTGAATTTCATACATGTCCCAATCTAGACTATTCACCTACTCAAGCTTTAATTAGAGACTCATGAAATCATCACCAAATTTATGAGGCACAAAACCTAATCACCAGCATACGAAAGTAATGCTGTGATGTTCTGGTCGCTAAGAGCATTCTTAGAGTCAGAGATTTATACAGGAGGAAGGGCGCTAGTTAAAAGTTCCTTCCTTTACAGTTGAAAAAATTAGGTCTGTGGAGGTGAGATAGTCTGCCCTACGGTCATATAACTAGCAAGTGGACTCCCAATTTAATGCTGTTAACAAGTACTCTGCTTCCACTTTTCCTTCTCTACAAGAAGCTTTTCCTAAAAAGCTTCTCTCTCTCTTCCTAACATATGTATATTTACATTATAATTGACACATACTACAGGATCATATCAGTTTAGAACTATTCTTCGGAACTTTGAATGATGGAATTATCATCCTGAACTATCTTATTTCTCATTATCAAACTGCTTGTAAAGCCTCTCTTCTAATACAAGGGCCAAAAAAGATGAATTTGGCAAGAAGATCCAATTTTCCCTTTTAAATGTTTCCCTTATTCTAAAAAACGGAACACGTTTAGAAAATTAAAACTAAATATCCTTAATAGCTCGAGAACAAACAAATATCAAATATGCTTATAGTATCTATCTACCTATCTATCTTTAAATAAAGTGCATATCAGTCTGAAAATAAGCTTTTGAAAAAAAATCAGACTGGTATGTTTAAAAATATTTCCTCGGAAATAGTGTAATATATAATAGTAGTATAAAATATATTTATATTATTCTTTCCATTGCATCAAAAATTAAAATGCACAGCGGGTTTTTCATTGGATCTTAATGTTCATCTTTTATATCTCTAGAATCTTATTTAATAGGGACTACTTTATTAAACAGAATAACTATAACCACACTCTTAAAAGTCAGCTTTATGAAGAGATAATGAGTCACATACAAGTAGAGAGAGCAGAGCAAAATAAAGAGAAATTCTTAAAAGCTCGAAATGTTTATAATTCTAGAGCAGTCCTATGATGGAATCATCTATGTTATTGCATGACAATATAAATGCACTTAGATAAAGGCATTAAATAAGTACAAATTACAGAAAGCAGAAAAATTTTTTTAATTAAACAGGTCTTTTTTTATATATATTAACCTTAATTTTCAGTTTAGTAGGGAACTCAATTTATATAAAAGGTTTGTTTTCTGAAAGTTAAAATTCACCTGGGATCAAAAGAAAGTATATAACCAGAAATGTCTGTGTACAAGCCTGTATTATTTTGTTAAGTTAAAGACCTCTTTACTATCTTGGAAATAAAAAACAAATAGAATTTGTATCTATATATCTACAGCATTCTCCCTCAGGGTTCATAAGGCAATTTTATTGATTTATTCAAGAAATATTTCATGAGACTCCACAATAAGCCAGGTCCTCCCTGCTAGGCAACGGTGGTGTCATATATTTATTGGAAAGTTAATGAAGGGATAATACACACCTTCATCTCCTTAGTGTTTGCCACTGACTTTAGACTACTCCTTTCCCTAGTCCTATTGAACTTTTCTAGGACACTGAATTATCTTTCACATCTTCTCACGTATATATAAGTCTCTGTCCTACACCTTGGAATCCCCAAAAGCCCCGGTGACTCAGTGGCCTATAGGACCCCCCAGACCCTGTTCTCTCTCCATGATTCTTTTCCTTAAATGCTGAGGTCTAAATACATGCTCGTATCTGAACTTCTCATATGAGTTCAATGCATAGTCTTAAAAAGGATCATTTACTATTAGACTCGGATGATAGGAAGATTCAATTATAAATTGCCACATAAAACCTGGAAAGAGAAAAACCTAATTTACTCTTAAAAAATTAAGTTTCTCAATAGGAAAGGCTACCTATGAAACTGCCTTTTTTAAAAGTACCATACCTTGAGAGGGGGGACTCTGGGTTCCTCTCTTGGAGGCTGCTCTTTCTCAGGTGAGCTGCTAGATGATATGTTCCGGATTGACTGATCATCTTCTATCCTTGCTCTCTTTTCCTTACAGATTCCAAAACTGTGCTGCTCTGCAGTTTTCCTCTTTGATATCTCTGAATCTCTGTTTTCATTTCTTATCCCATCAGGTGACCTGGAGGGCTCTGAAAACTTGGAAGTATGTGAGGTCTCCAACCAATTCTGTGTGATCCCTTGCTTGTGTGTTTTATTTCTAGAGCCTTCTGAAAATGAAGCCTTATCTACTGATGAGACATACTGTTTGTCCTGTAATTTAGCTGATGGAAGCTCATTTCCTCTACTCTCTGTCTCTTCAGAGAAGACAGATAATTCTAATGGTGAGGATATTCCTTTCTTTTCTGTCCTTTGCAGGACGCTGTGATTTTTAATTTTTATCATTTCAGTAGAAGGGAGTTCTGGAATAGAAGCAGGATAGGGCTTCTCCATTTCAACATGTGATTTACAAGGCTGCTGACTCAGGGTCTTACTATGCAATTCTTCCGATGGAAAGGCTTCGGGAGCAATGGAAGAAGAACTCGTGTTGATTGGTTCAGGAGCACTGGATAGAATCTTCTGCTGGGAGGTAAGGTTCTCTCCCAGGGGTTTTGCAGGGGCAGAAGGCTCATCCTTCTGTGGAGAGAGTGGTTCTTCAGATATGGAAGGTGACTTTCTTTGTTGGTGCATTCTTTCATTTATGGAAGAATTAGAAATTGGAGATGTTTGTGAAGGAAGTGGCAAATTGGACACAAAAGTGGTCTCAGATGTGAGAAGTATGGAAGACACTGAAGAAGTTTCTGATGTCAAAGGTAAATCCGACATCGGTGATGTTTCTGATGTCAAAGGTAAGTTGGATACTGGCGATGCTTCAGATGTTAATGGTAAGTTGGACATAAGAGATGCTTCAGATATTTCAGGTGAAGTGGATATTGGAGATATGTCTGACATCAGAGACGTATGAAGGTTTTCATCAGTTGGGTTTCTCTGATTATATTTGTCTGTATTTTCAGTGCTGGACACCTCAGAACAAAACGTTGTCTCAAGCGAGGCTGGAGCACATGATTCTTCTGACGTGGACTGGGTTTCCCCTCCTGGGGATGGCAGGCTGGTACAGGCTCCTTCTGGGCTCTCTGAAGAGAAAGAAGTTTCAGAGATGCAAGCATTTTCAGAAAGCTGTTCATCAGGATCGCTCTGTAGCTCCATATCTACAGAAATTCCTTCATTTGGAAACTGGGCTTCTAGAGAAGATGACCCTGTTTTTATTTTTGCAGTATTGTTATCTATTGCAGTTTCTGGCTCCTTATGTTCTGTGTCACTGACATGAGTCACAGACGGAGTGGAAGGAAGAAGAGAGTCACAGACTTCTAACTGATCAATAACAACTGACATTTCTTCCTGGGGAGGTTCTGATTTCTCTTCTATCTTAACTTCGATATGCGGCAAAGTTTCTAAAACATCATTCATCATAACACAGGATTCCAAGTTATCTTCAGGAGGTGCTATTTGGGGTTCTTCATGAGAGTTGGCTGGGCTTTCAGACTCCTCAGAAAATTCGGGTATTGTCTTATGATTTTCATCCTGGCATTCACAAATACTAGTTTCTACCTCTTCTGCAATTTCTTCCTGAATCACAGATTCTTCAGGGATCAAGATATCCTCTGACTCTGATTCTGCCATTACATCCTTAGCTGGGACCTCTACCATAGGACAAAGAGTAGCACAAAAATCAGGCTCTGGAGAAGCTGGACTTTTCATGCTTTTTGGCTGTTGTTCTTCCAGGACAGTCTGTGCAGAAGAACCAGGTAGGCCAGAGGTTCCACATGAAGAACTACTTTCAGCTCCATCATTGTTTGGTCCAGAAGTGAGTTTCACAGATTCCTCTCTTGACATGCCCAACCTGAACAAAATTAGAGATAAGAAATTACTGCTCAATCACAAAACATGAGAGGTACAACTTGGATTTCTTACAAATATAGTACTCAGAAGTAAATGCACCAAATTAATCTTATAGTTGCTAACACTTAATTTATGTAAACTAGTTGATTATGATGTAGTTTCTCTGCTGCTTTTATCATCACAACTAAAACTCTACTTCTGGTTAAGAAAGATATAGATTTTTATTTTGTGAGAAAGGGGATATGAACTTTATCAAGTGTTAGCAAAAGAATAAGAAAATTACATACAACAAAAAACTGGAAAATATGGGCAGAAAAGCAAAATAATACATAAGATCTAAATTTTTTTAAAAAATCAGAAAGTAGAAAGATGCCTTATAGTAAAAAATTATGTAATACTCAGAGAATGCAACAGAACCAAATAATTAAGATCAATGGAAGATGAATAAAATTCATTAAATTTTGAAATTGAAATGACTTTCAAGGATTGGTTCTCTTAAACTACCCTAAGACGTGTTACTCAATCACTTATTTTAGCATCTCAGAGTCTAACCTAAGACAATATGGAAATTTCATTAAAGAATAATAAAACATATTTGAGGTCAAAGTTATTCTACCAGCTAACATTTGTGTGGAGCAAGACTTTTAAATTCTTTCATCTCTTACTGTAAAGATATTCCATACAAATAGTAAAGAAAACAAAGAAATAATCCAGCCTAACATTCAGGTCTTAAGGCAAAGCTAATCAGGATTATAATAGAGGATACTGTAAATCACTGCTTTCTGTTATATTAAGTTACAAGGTCAGCATCAGATAGTAAAGAAATATGCCACTCCAGATGAAGCTAAATGAAGGTACAGGCAATAACAAAGCAGGAGAGAGAACATTTCCAGAGAAAGAGACACATTTGAGTGAAGAAATGCAGCTAATGATGCAAGAAAATACTTCACGGAAATCCATTTTCCCTTTCACTTAAATAAAATTCTCAAAATGAAAGGGAAATAAAATCGAATACACTTTTTAGACATTTGATCGTTTCTTTCTTAAATTCAGAAGGCTCTGAAAAGAAGTGGGAAGATACAGCCTTTACAATTAGTTTCTTTTCTTTCAACTTACCCTAAGATGGGATCAAATCAAGCTCCAGTTTATAACTGTACTATACAGAGGGGAACAGAACATTACAGATAAATTTAAAGCGGAAGAGATCAGCTAGAGAAAAGGCCCCTTGGGACTGGGTCAAGCAGAGGTACCACTAATACTAGGTTAGGTAAATACGCAGAAATCTATCTGCTGACAGTCAAATTTCTGCTAGTTGGTTAATAACGATATTATTAAATAAAGAAATGGATAACTACACATGCACACACACACACACACACAGGTACTTCAAAAAGTTCATGGAAAGATTCGTATTAACTTTTAATTGTATTTTTTCACAAACCTTTTGAAGTAACCTTGTATATGTATGTGTGTATATGTATGCATATGTGTGTGTATATACATATATATATATATATATATATATAT